ATTACACTTCCAGCCAATTATTCACAGTTGTTATGCCGGCTTCAAGTCAGTTTTGTTACTCTTTTAATTATACTCCAGCACAGCATAGGTGCTCCTACCTTTTAAAGACTACTTTAAAGACACTATTAAAATGTGGGAACATTTTTATCTACAAGGTCAAATGACTCTCAGGAGAGTTAAAAAAATGTGCAGGCAGCCCATCAGTGAAAAGAATATAACTTAGGTCATATTGCTTATAGGAGAGGGATCATGCCGTTATCTGTTTTTAAAAGATACTCATAAATCTGATAACTTAAAACAGGTCTAGTTTAAAAGTGAGACCAGTTAATGGAGAGGAGAGAACGTGGAGGGAGAGGAAGAATTGCAGAAGAGGACACACAAGGCAAAATCATGTTGTCATTGGAGGAACCCGTATGGATGATTTTGTTCAATGTCTTCTAAAGAAGGAATTGGGGCCAAAGAAGTTAGGTGATTTGCCCAAAATTGGAACACCAGGTAGCAGCAAAGAGGGAATTGGAACCCAGGTAACCCCAGCCACACAGAGACAAAGAACCACAGACGAGAGAGGGAGGAGAAGTTCAGGTGGAGAAACTGGATGCTGGATTTGTTTACTGTTACAGTCAACTCACAGGCTCCTTTTCATTTTCAGTTTGGAATTCAAAAGATGTTTACCCATAAGAAAAATGAGGAAGTCAATCACACCTCCCCTTCCAATACGTTGTTTTGCTCCAACAATGGGAAATTATCTGTAAAATTTGGGAAGAGCTTTACTTACAAATTTAGTTGTGGGATTAAGATGTATTTTTTCATAGAAGTCTAAAGATTTGATCGGCGTATAAAAGTGGGCTTCATGTTTCAGATCCTTAATTTTTAATCTCAGAGTCATTGGCAAGCTGGATTTGTTTTTTTGTTTTTTGTTTTTTGGGTTTTTTGCTTTTGTTTTTGTCTTTAAAAATTATACCAGCAGCCATTGCCAACTGATTTACTTGCTTTCATTCTTGAAAAGATTAGGATTGTTCTGTCTTTCCCTGCCTGAAAATATGTGATTTCCTTAAAAATAAGCATTTATTTCACTGCTTATGATCTTTTGTTTCCAGATCGAATTCAGGATGGGTGAATGTGCATAATTGGTTCCAGTTGCGAATTGTTTAAGAACAACTTTAAAACTCTTTAGGGGTAAAAATGAACCATTTTAGTCTGAGCTGGTATTCCTAAATTAATTTTTACATGTTATTTTTATATTTCTAGGATTCAACCAAGTTTCATTTCTTTTCCCTCTGCCTAGTGTTTTGTTGTTTTTGTTGTTGTTATTGTATTTTAACTCTCAGGCTGCACTGTCATTATGGTAACCAGTAGCCAGATGTGACTATTTAAATGTAGGTTTATATTAATTAAAATCTAATTTAATTTGAAACTAAGTTCCTCAGTCACACTAGCTACATTTCAAGTGCCCAGTGGTCACCTGTGACTATTATGTTGCACAGCATAGATCTCTAGACCATGCCTATCATCTCAGAATGTTCCAGTGGATGGCAGTAAGGACTAGTAACTGGGAATGTCTGTCTTGGGCACACTTTATTGGTCAGTAATGATAAAAGAAGCCAGAGGTTCCTACATAGGTTTCAGAAATCGATCACATAATCCATAAGGTCTAAACATTGCAGTTTCATGGATTATCTCACAAATGAGCAGAGTTAATGTCCTTTGAGGCTTGTGTCTCAAATATTGCTCTCAAGGGTAGGTAGTTTATAACATAAGAAGTTGATCAAATATTTAAAATGTAAGTCAATTTGGAATTCAGAAGACATTCACCCATAAGAAATGTTATATAAATCATGTTATTGAAACTGCATTTTCTGAAATAAAAATCAGTGGAAATAATAACCAGCAGAAAATCAACAAATTGTAGTGCTTCAGGGCAGTTATAGATTAGTAGGAAGAAATGACACACACACCCAGTACACATGCCCACACACACAGAACAATGTTAGATTGAGTTTCTGACTTAATTAGCCAAGAATATAAAATCTTACTGGAAAAAAGTTGGCTTCCAGGGCAGGAGCAGGGATGTGACATATCCCTTGACACCCAGAGTTCCTACTGCCTGTCTTCATGAGGAAAGGTCTTGCCACACCTGTGAGCTCAAATCTTGCTACACCACTGTTCTTTTGTAATCACAGCTTACATCAGCAATCTGGAAGAACTCACACCAACAAATGCATGAATTTTTGCTTATGGGACTATTTAAACACATCAGATATTTCTAGAGCTCTGGCCACACGCAGCATCACCAAAGCAGCATCCTTCTCTTGAGGGGATGCAGCAGGGTTAGAGCTGGGGTCCTGTCACTACTTCAGCCCCAGAAAAATTTATTTTCCTAATCTATTCCCCTCATACTGATTTTGTGCTTTTTTTTTCCAGGTGATTCAAAGACTGAGTTGTGATGGAGGACCATGCGCACAAATCAATTTTCCCAGAAAATCAAATCCAATTAGAAAAAATCAAATTAATCTTAGAAATTGGTTCTTGAACAATAAGACAGGTTGAATTAGGAGAGGTAGATGAGAGTCTGTGCAGTGATCCTGGAGGGGACTGTTGGAGACCTCCGAGAGCTCTCACCATTGATGGTGATGATTGCACTATTCGTTCTTATTTTATTTTCAGACTCACAGCTTTGTATCCCTTGGCAATGGTAGATCACCACACTGCTCATATAAACAGGATCTATATTTTTCTCACATATTCAGGGCAGAAGAGAGAGTGAAATATTTTCCAGGGAACACTGAGCGGGAATCAGAAAAAGAAACGAGAATAAGATTAAAGAGAACGTTTATGAACATTCTGGGGGTGGGGAAGGATTGCTCAGAGCTGTAGGAAGGACGTGATGGCCATGATACCTGCGAACATTTGTGGAGCACTTAATGCAGTTTTTAAAATACTTTACATGTATTAACCTATTTAATTAGTTAGTTAATGATTTAGTTAACTAGCTGATTTGTTTGATTTTTGTCTTGAATTTAAGACAAAGAAAAATAGATGAACAATGTGCACAAACTCCATGAAAGACAGACTGCGGGAAGTATATTATTCTCCCACCCCAGTTAGCAAAGTTGTCAGAAGCCACAGTTTCAGTGCTCAGAAACCAGCTCTTTGTCCTATGGCACGCTTGTGATTCAGGATACCCGTAAATGGGAGATGATCAGGAGTCCTAATTTCCCATTCCTTTTTAAAAGGAGGAGGGCAGATGAGATCAGTTTTGGAGATCATAGACCTCTGAGAATATGAACAAAGCTACAAGATAATGTACATAACACAAATTTAATTAAAGAGCAGCGTCAGACCCCAGGTTATGCTGCAGTCTCAGAGACTACGACAACAGACATTTGTTCTTGCTCATGATAGTTTATGACGGGTTAGTTTGAAATTCTGTTCCATGACTCCTCAATCAGGATCCAAGCTGATGCATCCTGCACACCATCTGGGGTAACATTCATTGCTGGGGTAGGGAAAAGGCAATGTAGCAGATCACATACTAGCTCCTAAGGCTTCCACTTGGAAGGGACATGCACAATTTCAGTTCACGTTTCACTGCCAAGTAAGTCACCATGTGCAATCCTCCATGTGCTTGGAGGAAAAGGTTCAAATTTCCAACAAACAGACATAACTACCACACAGGGTCAAGAATCCCCAAAGTAGGTGACCTCTAAATTCCTTTGTAGTTCAAGGTAGCTGTGAGTCCAGATTAATTTATGATATACTTATTCAGAGTTTATCCAGGAAGTCTACATGTATAAATGCTAGGCACCAATTCCTCTTCAATCAGGTGGTTATCTTTATAACTAGGACAAGAGCGAGCCTTCTCCTAATAAGGTATAAGCAGAAGTTTTTGGACTATTCCTTCAACTTTGAGTGAGAATTGAAGAAATGAGTAATTCTCTCCCCAGTGCCACAGGGGCTTCCTATAAGAGAGAAAAGTAGGTTCCTCAGTGGCAAAGTTACGTCAACAGCTAATACATAATAAGATCAGACCACAGAGCTACTAATATTCCTTCCATCCCTGAGATTCTGTGCTCTAGGCAGGTGCCCACTATTTAGACGAATCAGATGACTTGATTTTAGAATGGCCAAGCCAACTGTATCTCAGGAAAAGGATATCTAGAAAAGTAGCCACGAGGTGGTCTTAGCATTCTCACTTTAGCAGCACAGATACCAAAACTGGAGATGGTCTTGGGGAAAGAATAATAGACCAAATAAGCTAGTAGAACTCTTAGGCATCATCAGATACTGGCCACTCAACTGCAGCTCCCAGTGACTTCAACCCTTTCATAACCTCCACCAGCATTTTTTTCTTAATTATATACATGTAATATTTTCCCAGTCTTACGGAAAGTGCCGTTCCAAGGCAGCTTTGAGAATGGTCCCTTTGTCAGCCTCCCTCCAGCCAGAATGCCTCCCTTCATGACTTCTTTATGAAAGTCTGTGCTACCTTTGACCAACCTCATTTGATAGACATGAAAATTGAGGCCCAGAGAGGAGCTGGAACTTGTTTAACTCAAAAGCCATTTGGAGGCAGGGTCAGCCACCCATTTCTTTGAATCTCTGAGTCAATTGCAAGCCCCAAATTCCCTCGGACAAGCTTGGGGCCTAATTTTAATTGAAAGCTTACTCAAAAGATGGTATTTCTGACAATTTACCTTGAAATACTCTCTGTCCTCTTATTTGCCGTCATTCAGGGATTTGGCTTGTGTTCTTGCAAGGGACATAAGGAAAGGCTATGCTCACTCAAAAGTCCTTCCCTGCTTAAGGAGGTCTACGGACATGTCTCATACCACTCAGCACTGCCTTAGCTTGGCAGTCATCCTGATGATGGAGTGAAGATACTTTGCCCATCATTTCTTCCCCTTCTGCCTCTTCTTCCACTACAATTATGATAATGTCCTGCAGCAGACTTTGTAAAGAATCAGGGCCTCTGGTTAGTGATCTCTTTGTTTCTCTTACAGTTCCTTATCAGCAGAATCCTTACAATCCACGGGGCAGCTCCAATGTCATCCAGTGCTACCGCTGTGGAGACACCTGCAAAGGGGAAGTGGTCCGCGTGCACAACAACCACTTCCACATCAGATGCTTCACCTGTCAAGGTAGGAGGCTCAGCTCCCCCACTCTCTTCTCAGATTTCTGACCATTCTTGCACCACCAGGTCATGCCACAGGGGCAGGAAGAACATACATAGGCAGCTGGAATATCTACAAAGGCCTACAGAGGCTTTCCTTGAGCCTCTTCTTATGAGATTCTCCTTTAGAATGAAGGCAGTGTTGGTACGTGAGGGAGACAAGGATTCTGGTAACCTTGGAGGGGCAGGTGCTGATCCAGAAGGAAAAAGACTATTCTGCAAACTTAACTTACTCATCTGAAAAGACTCTGGGCTTGTGCCTATAAATCAATGTAAGAGCAAATGAAAGTGCAAACTATCTTGGATAAAATTCAGCGTGGCTCAGAGATGAGTACCTATTCTATGACAGTGTAGCAATCCTCAAAGGTCACATTTAACAAGGGCGAAGAGAAATCTTGACTTTGGGAGCACATAGCTGTTAGGTCACCTCTCATTGGTACAGCTTACACAAGGCTAATTTTTGTAATCCTAGACTCAATTGAGCCAAGAGTTCCTAAAGAAGACAGATAATTAGCAGCAGGAAAAGGGTTTCAGCTGAAAGAACACAGAGAGCCCTCTGGCCTGGGGACAGCACACCCTTCCACAATGTCCCTACAAATCTCTCTCCGGCCTCTGCATCTTGACCTCTTCATTCAGACTTCCCGGCTCCACAGAGCAGCCATTCTAATGTTGGATTGCCCTATGGGTTTAGAAAATGTTTAACTCAAAATTTGTAACTTTTTTGTTGATCTCAGATTTGTTCTCATAAAGTCTGAAGAATAATTTGTATTTGCTTTTCCCTGTGACTGCTCTTCCAATACTCATAGCCAGGTCTTCCCCATGTCAAACTATATCACAGCTCCTTAAACTGGGTCTCATCTTAAATGATTCCAACGGTGTCATTGTCCTGGAGTCTTCCTCTTTGATCCATTTTAGTGTGTCACTGTCGTTCCTAAAGTATGTTACTCAGAACAGATCACAGTTTTCAAGGTCTGGCAAACACAAAGGACTACATTTCTGTTGATGTAACTGATATTGAACTGACTTCCTGAGGAGTCACTTCACACCACCAGCTTATATTGAATTTAAGGTCAGTTGAAGCCCCCGGTTCTTTTTATATCAGTAACTGCCTCAGTCTCATGCACCTAAGAGTGACTTCCCCTGCCACTGAGAAAATCCCGGACTTCTTTCTTCATGATCTAACTAGACTCTGCACTTAGCAAACAACTTACATATTCATATTTCCTAATTTGTTTATGGATGCCTATACGGGATACATTTTAATTGGTGTGATTTGAATTTTATATTGAGAATTGGCAAACCCCTTTAGTATAAATTGAACTGCAAGAGTATCTTGGTGAGTGATTATTTTGACACTCTGAAATTTAGGCAGGACAAAGGGTGAAGACAAGAAAATTGTTATAAAGTGGTTTGGGATGTAACTATGTGATTATATTCTTAAGAGAGTGTATCAGTTACCTTTTACTTAAGCAAAAGCTTAATAGCTTAAACCAATTGTTTATTTAGTTCATGATTCTCTGGGCTGGCTGAGCAGTGTTTCCCAGTTCCTAGCTCTGCTTATCTCTACTAGTCTCATCATGATGATATGCAGTCAGCAGGTGGGTCTGCTGGCAGTGATGGGCAGACCACTAACCCCAGTGCCTCCACGTGGCTTCTCATCCTTCAGTGGGCTGGCTTGGACTTGTTCATATGGTGGTCTCAGAGCTCCAAATACAATGAGAGAACAAGCTTTAATAAGTAAGACCTTTTCAAACCTCAGCTTAATGTCCTGCTGTTGGCCAAAACAAGTCAAATGGACAAAAAGGCAAGGTCACAGAGAAATAAACTTTGCCTTTTTTAGGAGGACCTGAAGCATCAGATTTCAAGGATGTTAATGCAGAAGGGAATAATGTGGCCATTTTGGCATTTACCACAGGGAGGTTGTAGAATCTCTTTCAATGGAGATTTTAAGGGAAAAATAATAGACCAATATTTTTCTGAATATTTTCTTTTTTTTTTTTTTTTTTTTTTTTGAGACGGAGTTTCACTGTTGTTACCCAGGCTAGGGTGCAATGGCGCGATCTCGGCTCACCGCAACCTCCGCCTCCTGGGTTCAGGCAATTCTGCCCCAGCCTCCTGAGTCGCTGGGATTACAGGCACGCGCCACCATGCCCAGCTAATTTTTTGTAGTTTTAGTAGAGACGGGGTTTCACCATGTTGACCAGGATGGTCTCGATCTCTTGACCTCGTGATCCACCCGCCTCGGCCTCCCACAGTGCTGGGATTACAGGCTTGAGCCACCGCGCCCGGCCATTTCTGAATATTTTCAATGTCCGTTTGCTTAAAGGTAAAACAAATGAGAGGATTTTTATTTCCAACAGTAATCAACGTGGCAATTAAGTACCCTATTAGATAGCTTTGTCATCTAAACAATCTAAAATGTTTATGAATTTCTTTTACAACTCTTTTAACATCCGCTACTGTGCTGACATGAAAGGAAGGAATCTACAAAGGTTAAAAACAGAAACAGAAACCCTGTTGTGACTACCAATGCCATATTTCATCCTGATAGTTTATATTAAACTTGGAGACTTTGAGCTTTTACTCTGTTGTCTAAATGGATCACGGAGAACAGGAGGCAAAGCTTAGCACCTAGTCAAAGTGGGAATCTAATAGGAGACCTATGTGTGAAGCTGTTTCCCCCTGAAAAAAGCATGTTCTCAGTGTATGACAGATGAGAAATAAACTGGCTCTGGAGAGGGAGAGAGCAAGGAACCTTGCCTGTTCTGACTTTGGCACTGGGTAGAGGGGAATAAAACTTCTATGAAAATACTTGTCGTATTTCACCATATACATGGGTTCATGACTACATTTATGTCATTTATTTGGTATAAATAAAAATAATTATAGAGTCAAACAGAAAATTTAAGTTACAGTGGTCTCCTAGTTGGCAAGTGGCAAAAGCAAATGATACTCCTCTTTGGAAGAACTCAACTTAATTCCAGGCCTCAAAGAATTTCCACAGATAATGTTATTAGGAAAATGAGTAACTCATAGTCAGTCAAAACATACAAATTATAATGGAATGAGAGCCAGCAGAACCTCAATGACTTTGTATATTGAAATTTTCTGTCATTACATAATAACTATATTGATATATTTAAACAGGCTAGAAAATATGAGCATAAAGGCCCAACAGCACATTATAAGCAATAGCACAGAAGATTTGAAAAGGAAACAAATAACACTTCTAAAAGTAGAAATATATAACCTTTGAAATTAAAAACTCAATGTATAAATTAAATAGCAGATTAGATGTTGCTAAGGAATTAGTAAACCAGAAGATTTCATCAAAAAAATTATACAGCTAATAGATCAAAAATATGAGAAGTTGGTAAAAATAAAAAAGAAGTTAATACATGGAGAATATGGTGAGAGGTCTTGACATATATATATATCTAATCAGAGTTCTGGGCTATATAATAGAGAACATGAGTGGGAGGACAATATTTGAAGCGACAACAGCTATGAATTTTCTAGAGCTGTTGAAAGACACATATCCTTGAATCCAGAAAACCTAATAAATTCCTGCAGGAAAATTTTTTAAAATTCCACCTACATATATCAGAGTAAAACCTCAGATCATCAAAGAGCTCATCTTAAAAGTAGCCAGAGAGAAAAAACAAATCATCTGCATATAAACGGTAAATGGACTGACAGCTGACTTTTCAATAGCAACAAGAAAACTAGAAAACAGCAGAAGAATATCTTTAATGTGCTGAAAGAAATAACTGTCAAGGAAAGATTATGTATTCAGCAAAACTATCTTTCTAGAACAAAGGCAAACCTACAACTAAGAGTATACTTAATGGAGAAAAACTGAATGTTTCCCTGTAAGATCAAAAACAAGACAAGGATGTCTGCTCTCACCACTTCTATTTGACATTGCATTTCAGGTTAGTACTAGGTTAATTAAGCAAGAAAATGAAACAAAATGCATCAGATTAAAAAGAAAGAATTACGACTATCTCTATTTGCACGTGACATGATCTTGTATAGCAGATTCCAAAAACTACTACAGAATTGTTAGAACTAAAATTCTTGTGGAATTGCAAGGGACATAGAATAGTCGAACAGTCTTTAAAAGAACAAAGTTGGAGAACTCACAGTTCCCACTTTTAAAATTTACTATAAAGCTGTAATAAACACGATAGGCTGGTACGAGCACAAGGATAGACATAGAAATGAATAAAGTCAGGAATATAAACATAAACTCTTATACTTATGGTCGGTTGATTTTTAACAAGGCTGTGGAGATAAAGCAAGAGGGAAAGAATGGTCCTTTCAACAAGAGGTGCTTGGAAAGCTGAATTTTTTGTGTTTATAAGCAAAAAATGAAGTCAGACTCTTCCTTTACACATACATAAAAGTTAAAAATTGATCAAAGACCTAAATGTAGAAGCTAAAATTGAGAAACTCTTAGGAAAAAATATAAGAATAAATCATTGTGATTCTGAGTTATGCAAAACCTTCTTAGATGTGACACAAAAGCACAAGCAACAAATGAAAAATATATTAATTAGATATTATCAAAATTTAAAAGTTTTGTGCTTCAAAATTCACCATCAAGAATGTGAAAAGGCAACCCACAGAACGGGAGAAAATATTTGAAAATTATAAATCTGAAAAAACATTTGTGTCTAGGCTATGTAAAGAATTCTTATAATTTTATGATAAAAAGGAAAATAACCTAGTTTCAAAATGGGCAAAGGATGTGAATAGACATTTATCCGGAGAAGTTTTACAGATATCCAATAAGCACATGAAAAAATGCTCAGCCTTATTAGCCGTCAAATAAATGCAAATCAAACCACAATGAGATACCACTTCACATCTGTTAGAAAGGCTATAATAAAACAGATAGATAACTAGTGTTGATGAGGATGTGGAGACATTAGAATTCTCATACAATGCTGGTAGAAAGGAATG